AAACATTGATGCTAAGTGCAGTCATTAGTAAAACCAATCCACAGTGTTGGTGTTTGTCCAGCTGCAGCCTGAGAGCCCTTGACTGCAGAGGACGGCTGCTGATGAGACGCGCTGCGGGACCTTTGTGCACCACAGATGGGGGTATAATTGCTCTTTGTTCAAGCCTCCACATCTATTTGAAGTCTCTCATTCAGTTTATGCTCATACAACCGCGCTGCTGTGGTGTCACATCTTTGTAATTAAAGGGTAAAATGCAGGGATATTTGGAGAGCTGGCATGCCGTGAGGAAGCCCACTGAAACAGAAGCATTGAAGGCCTACCCTTTTGAAACATTATTTTATTCAAATACTGGTTCATAGAGAACAAGCAATGATGTCAGCATCTGCAATAACAGGGCATGTTTTCAGTGTATGTTTGGGCAGTAACACTTATAATTGAATGAATGCAGAATCATTATGAAGCAAACAATGGAATATTCCAGAATATTGACTCCTCACATGGAGTCATCTTCATTGTTTTACCAGGAAAGTCCACGTTGGGATTTCTTTACTTGTTGAACCTCTTCTATTTGCTACATGAAGGTGTGCATACAGTTGATTATAGAGGGAAAGTAAATTAGACGTTTGCTCCAATAATTCTCTTATTGGAGTCATACATTTCATGAAGATTTTATTTTTTATAATAAGCCCTAATAAACAGTAATCTGTCCAAATTTCTTAATACAAGAAAACATTCTGTGTCATTCAAGGCGTGAAAAGTAGTGCAAAAGACGCCTGGAATATTGGGAGCTCTGATTGGTCAGAGCGTGGCCATGCCCCTCTGTGCACGTGCATTAGAGCCGCACGCGCGTATAAAGCTCAATGTATCATGGGAGGCCGTCCACTGCGCAGAACCAGGAGGACGAGACAATATCCAAATATAGGAGAGTTCTGCTAATCTTTCTGTGCCCATGGTGGAACGTGCGCTACTCAGCACAAGCCATTGACTTGAATCGGGCGCCATCTTGGATTCCGTTGATCCAAGATGGCGCCCTATTCAAATGATGGCTTGTGCTCAGTAGCGCATGGGACTTCACGGAGACCGGGAGATTAGCAGAACTCGCCTATATTTGGGCATTGTCTGGTCCTCCCGGTTCTGCGCAGTGGACGAGCTCCCATGATGCATTGCGCTTTATACGCGTGTGTCGCTTTTATGCACGTGCACAGAGGGGCTCGGCTGCGCTTTGACCAATCAGAGCTGCTGATCAGAGCAGCAGCAGAGCGGAGTCAGAGCAGGAAGGAAACGAGCAGAGTTTGTGGCAGTAAAGTGTGGATTTAAAGAAAACCGACGGATTTAAGAAGAAAAAAAGTTCAGGATGACAAGGGACACAAAAAATCCCCACAAAATCTGATCTTTATGAGCGCTGTAGGTTCTCTGTCAGCTGAGGTCGAGCTGTTTTAATTTACATTGAGTTCTATAGGACTTTTTTCTGGGTAGCCCTCGTAAATGTAGTTTGCAGTACCACGGGCGCCCCCTGTGCCCATGGATGGGACAAGATAGTAATGCGTAATCTAGTTATTATTATAGATCCATGGTTTCTACTCACTCGTGGAGGATAAATCACTTTCCTCGGCTTCCATGTTTGGATCAGCATGTTCTTTGGTTTAATGTTTTCTTTGGCACCCCCTCCATTGTTTACAGTTAGCCCCACTCTTAGCATTGCTAATATTGTTTGGCATTCGCTTTAGACACCACTCTCTCAGTTGCACAAATTTTTCTGTATTTGAACATGTCACATGTGTAAAATTTACATTTACGTGTGAATGTCATTGATTTTCCAATCTAATCTAAAGAACAGTTCAAGTATCTTGGGGTCTTGTTCACGAGTGAGGGAAGGATGGAGCTTGAGATTGACAGATGGATCGGTGCAGCGTGCGCAGTGATGCGGTCGCTGTATCGGACCGTTGTGGTAAAGAGGGAGCAGAGCCGAAAGGCAAAGCTCTCAATTTACCGGTCAATCTTCGTTCCCTCCCTCACCTATGGTCATGAGCTTTGGGTAATGACCGAAAGAACGAGATCGTGGATACAAGCGGTCGAAATGAGCTTCCTCCGCAGAGTGGCTGGGCGCTCCCTTAGAGATAGGGTGAGGAGCTCAGTCACACGGGAGGAGCTCGGAGTAGAGCCGCTGCTTCTCCACGTCGAGAGGAACCAGTTGAGGTGGCTCGGGCATCTGTTCCGGATGCCTCCTGGACGCCTCCCTGGGGAGGTGTTCCGGGCACGTCCCACCGGGAGGAGGCCCCGGGGACCCCGGGGACACGCTGGAGAGACTATGTCTCTCAGCTGGCCTGGGAGCGCCTTGGGGTCCCCCCGGACGAGCTGGAGGAAGTGTGTGTGGATAGGGAAGTCTGGGCGTCTCTGCTTAGACTGCTGCCCCCGCCACCCGGCAACGGATGAAGCGGAAGAAAATGGATGGATAATCTAAAGAACAAGTGGACCCAAAGCAACTGTAGAAGGATATAAGATAAGATAAGATAAGAATTCCTTTATTCGTCCCACAGTGGGGAAATTTCGATGTTGCATCGCACATATAGGACAGTAGTAAGAGCACACAGGGAGCACACACAATATATATAAATAAGTAGTAGCTATGTTTCTTAGCTAACATAACTAGCTGTAGATGCTGAAAATGCTTCAATACCAGTCAAAAATATATATATGTAGTAGTAGTGCAGTTATATACTGTACAGTTAACTAGAGCAGGATAATAAGTATAAGGTAAAGTGACATATTTTAGTCACGTGCTTTTGTCCTTGGGCATTTTTATCAGTGTAAATTTTATTTTCCTAAATTAGTTAGTATTCCAGCAGCCGTCGTCAATGTTGATCTGTGTCTAAACAAAAAGGATTGTTTGTTTTTTATGCACTAGTCAAGTGTGTATAGTATACACTGTATACTGAGTATCACTTATATAATGAAGCCCACTTGAGTTAGTCAGATATAATGTGGCGTATCAGACTCCAGTTGGTTCTCAATGCCAAGTCTCCCCAAGGAAAGGGCTGTTTATGCATGAAAAGCACTGGCAGCAAACCCAAGTCTGCGAGAGGCAGTGAGACAGTGGCCGCCTCCAAGAAAACACATTTGTTCTATATAGTCTGTCTATTTGCTGAACAATACTACAGGAAAAGGTTGCACTACAAAAACATGTTAAAGGAACTACATATTGTATTTTATTACTATGCTATTAGTTTTCTGCTATGGTTACACAGTGTGGGTTAAAAATTATAAGGCTTGTTGTGCATCCTTTGCCATGAATGATGTTTGGGCTTCATACGAAGTATCAACCTTATGCTGCTGAATTCTCAACGCAATTGATACTATTTTTTCATCACGTAAAGGCGGTTCTGGAGATGCCGTTTGCCCGGATGGTACGGCGGCTGCTGGGTACGTTTTTGACAACTGGCAAAAGTGGCACCTCGTTTGTCTGTCGGGACTGTCCATCGAGGACATTGAGGATATATACATTTTTGGATTTATGGTAGCAGGGTTCCTCCTGATTGGATTTGGAGTTGGCTTGATCTACCGCAAAGTTGGAGGGCTGTCCACTCAGAAGATTTACGAGCGGCTGTCCGCGTAAAACAAGGAGAGTTTCCGCGAGTTGGTCAGAGTCGTGGTCGAGGGCACAGTGGGGACACAACGGGGTGTGAGTCGGATCGAACATTCCCTTAACGACCTGGGAGTGAGATCTTTGGATGGACTTAAACGCTTGGAAGGATTGATTGAAGGACTTGGGCCTCACGGTGGAACCTCGTACTGACGTGGTCAACTCCGGATAACGGTGAACGGAGGGTCCAGTTCCAGTATAATTTGGACATATTGGCTTTAGTTTACACTGCCTTTCATTGATCAGCTAAAGTGCTTATACAAATTTCCCACAAGGGCATGTGTTGTTTTGTCTCCAATGTTTGCAGGCACCTGCGCTATCTTTGTCCTTCACATTCCACCACCACACCTCTGCCTCTCTCTCTTTTTCCCCCCCCCCCTAGTCTGCCTCTCTCTTTTTCAGTCTATGGTGGTCTTCCCCTCCACCTCCCCCACCCACACTCCCCTCTGACGCGCTATATTGGACGAGGCGGGCCAGAGTGATGACTTTCCATTAAAAAGATCCGCATGTTTTTCCACATGCACCGTGTCTCTCCCCATGTTTGTTGAAATATGTGTCTGTTTTGCTCTATGCTGTTGAATAACTGTCATAAGGAGCGCGGAAAATTAGAGTACGCGGCCGGCCTTGATGTTTATTCATCGAACTGAATTTCTCCATCTGTGTGAGATAATAAAGGATTGATTGATTGATTGATAATGTTTAGAACTTATATAAGATGAGATAAGAGATCAGGTGTGAGCCAGGTTAACTGTGTCTATGGTGAGGAGCAATTCAATTAAAACAAAAGAAAATAAGATAAATCTTTATCTTATTATGAGTCGGACTAGAGATTTGACCTGTCCTTTTTAATTAAAGGTCCCATATTTTGCACTTCTTAATTTTTCACAGTCCATCCTAAGCATGTGTGTGATGTGTGATAACAATACACCATACAAGAGTGTTTACTGTACTTTTGAATGCACTGGAAACAGCTGCAAGTCCTAAGTAAGTAAGTTCTTAGAGATTATCTATTTATTTGTTTTGTTTGTATGAATGTTTGTGTTTTTTCTGCTATTGGACACCTGAATCTCTCCTACGGGGATCAATAAAGTATCCATCTATCTATCTAACTAATGCATAGTATTTCTCAGTATGTTGTTCCACTGAATACAAATAATACATTTTCCCATCATTCCCATGTAATTTTACACCGTGTCCAGTTTGAACTTCTATGCATTCATGATTCTTACATTTATTGTTTTTAATCTGTACTTTTAGTTTTTTTTATTTCAGTGCGGATGTCAGGGTCGAGTTAACCGCCTGCGGTGGTTGCCATGGGCTACCTGTTGCTAACCGCGCTTCTTTCTTTGTTGACTCTTAGATAAAGAACGCAGCGGCGAATGTGCTGAGGGAGACGTGGCTCATCTACAAACACACCAAACTGATGAAGAAGATCGACCACTCCAGAGTCCGCAAGCACCAGCGCAAGTTCCTGCAGGCTATCCACCAGTAAGAGCACGCATCACACTGGGGATGTATTGGAGCCTTTGAAATCTGCTGCGAATTCTGTCCACCCACGACTAAGATCAATGTGCATAATCATCACATCTGCACACAGGCGCTCGCAGCAGTGGAGCGCACGGCTGAGGGAGCAGCTACAGAGAGCGTTTGTACAGTGACACAGGCCTGATGTGAAACCCTGTCCTAAAGAGGGCAGAAAGAAGGTGTCATTTCTTTAGATCAGCTTTTTCAAGCAGAAACGTAAAAAAGAGAGTCAGAGATTTATTTATACAGCGCCTTTCAGAGACCAAGGCCACAAAGCGCTTCACAGTAAAAGCAGATAAATGCAGTGTGTACACAAATAAAATGGCCAAAGACAACTCAGTGACAGATTAAGAAGAAAAATCAAGCAAATAAAAGGGTTTTAAGATTACTTTTGAAGGAGTCAGCTGCAGATAGAGAAGAATATTATTGAGAGGAACGATGGATCTCCTCTGATCCAGAAGATAGTGCGTGGAACCATCAGCAGTTTCTGATCCACCGAGCTGAGAGCCTGAGTGGGGGCACAAGACTAGAGCAGGTCGCTGATGTTAGGAGGAGCCTAGCCATACGAAGCACTCAATGGACCCCCTCACTCAGCCAATCAGCTCTCAGCCCAAAGCGTCAAAGATTTAAAAAATTACTTATAGACAAAAACAAATAGGTGTGGTCTGATTTGTTCACAATTTTTTACTTTTCTATTTATTTCATTTTTATTTTATTTAACCAGGAAAATACCCATTGAGATCGAGATCTCTTTTTCAAGGGAGTCCTGGCCAAGAGGTCTGTAGCACACGTCACAGGCACTTTACTACTGGGACAAAGCTTTATGTCAATGGTGTCCAAAATGTGCCATTGTGGGCCACATAAACATAAAGAAAGGCCCACAGATCAGTAGTGCACAAAGTCACGTTTCCAAATGGTTGTTTTAAGTTAATTTTAAAGGTTTTTTTTTCAAACAGAAAGAATCTGTATAAGTAACATTGTGTGAACAAATCAGGGTACGTTCTGTTTAAGTCTCATTCAAAACTTGAAAGAAAGTGTCCTGAGAGACAGTATATGACATGAGAAGTCATATTTTTTCCCTTTTTTGTCTGACAAAGCTGCTATTAAGATGTGTCAAAAGCACACACACAAAAAAGACAAAATGCATATTAAAACTAGTACAATTACCAAACTGTTTTTAAAGACGGGAACTAGTGACAGATGTTGGATTTTATTACTCCAGCTTTGCAGATTAGTTTTCCAATAACGAGTTTAAGTTTTTAATGAATTCAGAAGGAAGCAAAGTAATAGTTTGGACATGCCAATTTTAAGAATTCAATCCCATATGGTAATGCATAATAAGCACTACTAATGATTGAGTTTCACACTAATGTTGTGAGAAACTGTAATAGATTATAAAAAATGTTGCAATTTAGAGATGATTATATCAATCCAAAGTTGTTGCCCAAAGTTTTTAATGCAAAGTATTTATTAGTAGGAGATTCGGTTTCTAATTTTGTAGGCACAGAAAGCTCTTAAACCGTTGTTGGTCCAGCATGAGCCAATGTTCTGTAGATGTTGACGGAGCTTATCACGTGATTGTTACACAGACTTCACTGTGTTTTCTAATGTTCCACAAAAGATAAAATCACTCAAAACAGTGTGTATTCAGGACAATACACAGACGTTTCCCTCTTCACTGATGTGCCCTGTCCTTCTGTCCTTCCTGTCTGTGATCCTCGTGTGATCCTTGTCCTTCTGTCCCAGTGTGATGCTGAACAGGGCGTGTTTCACAGACTAGCATTAGCCTCACACTATTAGAGGTGTTTCATGCCTCTGGACTTGTTATTTCAACAGCGTTAGCACTTTTGGCTCCATGACAGACACAAACCACTTTCCAAATGCAGCGCCCCTTATTTCTGCTGCTAAAGTCAGGCGGCTTTAGAAAAGTTTTTAGGCTTTCATTCTTCTGAAAAATAAGTGGCGCATAAATTTTGTTTGTCGCTTTGATCTTGCACAGACCCAGCTTCTAAAATTCTGAATAATACAGACCCGATAGTCTTTTAATTGTGGCACCGAAGCCCATTCAGGGCCCTTTTCTTCAAACACAGGAACAGGAAGTCGAAGCTATCACAATGACGAAAAGGTCAATGATTAGCATATTGTCGAATGTGGTTTATTTATGAAATCCAACTCTTTCCTCTGCCAGCGTGCGTTCATGCATTATAGATGTTTTAAATTTAGATCTGTATCGGTCTATTATGGTTTTCGAGAAGCCTGGTGTGCAATACAAAACCCCTCAATTGGACAACAGCACATGCAAGTGTTTCAAACACAACAAACTTGATGTAACTACCTGAAATATGAATATTATTACCCCGCGCACCTTTCATAACATGCCTAGAGTTACACATTTGATTGCAGCGCAGTTTGGGTTATGTTTAGAAAGATATGTCGAACGTTTCAATACACATTTATATATTTTTCTAACTTATGCTTGCATTCACATTAACCACCTGATCTCCTCATTAAGGATCTATGTTTTCCTAATGCACTATCTGCTCATTAATAAGCATATTTCCTTCTTTTAGAAAAAATAAACACAAATAAGAAACAAATACAATAGTGAAGGCTCAAAAAGACGTGGAAAATGTAAGATGGGCGGCACGGTGGCTAAGTGGATAGCACTCTCGCTTCTCAGCAAGAAGGTCCTGGGTTCGAATCCCGGTCAGGGCCTTTCTGAGTGGAGTTTACATGTTCTCTATAGGTTTCCTCCGGGTGCTCCGGTTTCCCCTACCACTAAAAAACATCTACAATATGTGCATGTTCCACCATCACCGTGTGTGAATGGAAAAATATCTGGTTTCTAAACATTGTAAAGCGCTTTGGGTGACCTTGGTCTGTAAAATCCATCCATCCATTTTCTTCCCCTTAATCCATTTCTGGTTCGAGGGGGTGGCAATCAGAGATGCCACCCAAGTCACATAGCACCAGCCCCTCACTGATCCTCCTGCAGGAGGTGAGTCCACAGGAGGACGGCTGCTGTGAGCTTGATCTTTCAGCGAGGGCTTTGGGCAAAGTGGGGTTAAGTGTCTTGCCCAAGGACACAACGACAGCAGACATCAGTGGAAGTCAGTGGAGAAGGTGTCGAGGTGGGATCAAACCCACGACCTTCAGGCCTAAAGGCCAATGCTCTACCAACTGAGCTACTGTCGCCCCTCCCCTTGGTCTGTAAAATGCCCTCAATGGGCTTAACAAGAGAGTAATGAATTATATTACAAGTAGAGGCACATTAAAAGTCTACTGGAAGATTTTACACAATGAAATGGAAAGAATGGTGAGGTCCGAGGATCTGAAACTGGGCACAGGTCCCTTACTTCTGTAATTCTACTTACAATGTGAAACTTATTTGTTATCATGTTGATAGCTATTACTCACAGCTTGTAAAGACCCCAAATGAAACATTTCAGACAAGTTAAATATTATGAAAATGGATTGTATACCATAGTATTTTATAGTTCAACAAGCAAAGGCTTGGCATATGTCATGTCATACGTCTGTATCATACATTGGTTTTACATTTTAAGTTGAATTACAGAAATAAAGCCTTTATCCCCACCGCTGTCAGACTGTACAATAAGTCACTTTAACTCACTAATGCTCTAGAACTGAAAAAAACAGCACTGCTATTGCCACTCTTTTTTAATTGATTCTATCTATACCAAAAAAGTCATAATTTTTTGGAGTTCGACCTGTATATGACGCGCTTTATAAACTAGCGTGAGGATTTTGAATGATGATGTAATAGATTCAATAATAATAAGAAGTATTGATGCAATAATATATGGAAAGTGGAAACTTACAGCACATACAGCCGAGTTAGGAGAGAATACTCTGTGCACTGACCTATATTCCACTCTAGGTACATTTCCTATTAATTTAGTAGATTCAATGTTTTTGCAGTGCAGACAGACTGAAGGTGACCGCTCCACAGCTCTGTTTTGGACCCTGGGGATTAGCACACTGGACTGGCCTGTGTGTGTGTGTGCGTTTGTGTTGTGCGTTTTATTCACCTGTGTGCCTACGTCTCTCTTGTGTGTCTTTCTAAACGCAGACTACGCAGCGTGAAAATGGAGCAGCGCAAACTCAGCGATCAAGCCAACACACTAGTGGATCTGTCAAAGGTAACAACGAGTGATACTTCCAAGCGTTCGTGCGTCAATGAAATGTACCGAGGAGATAAAACGTGCCTTTGCTCCGCTGCCCAAATATGATGTGGTGGTTTAGCTGTGCAACGGTTCGGTGGCATTGTGTCTCCTAGCAACGGGAAGAGGTGATAAAACTGGAATGAATAAGAAGGATTTAACAAGTGATCAACATTGTGTTTATCCAGTATTACGAGATTAAACTCAGAAGGAATGAAGAAGGGAGGGAATGTAAGAAAAGGCTATGACTAAATGACTTTTTTAATACATGTATCTAGTCTATTATTCTTGAGAATTGTCTTGTAGTTTTGCAAATGATATGAGATTGACCTCATTAGAAAGCATAAGTGATGCTGTTTCATGTTGTCCAGATGGGGTTATTCACTGATATATTGCCAACATAGACACTCCAAATATTTATACTACTTCTGCCTCTACTATTGGTGTTGGGAAGTAACAGAAGAAATGTACCGGAAGTACATATTCCTAGAGTTACTATAATACATACAATTGAAAGTATCTCTTTTCCCGGTGTTTTTAAGAAGAAAAACACAAGCAGTGCAAATCCATTTATACTTTTTTAAAGACTAATTTTATGCAAATGAGTGTAAACTAAGGCTGTCAAACAACGAAAAAAAAATGTGTTGATTAATTGCATAGTAATGGTGAGTTAACTCACGATTAATCGCATTTTTAACATTCTATTTAAAATCCACATCAATTGAAGTTAAATGAGATTATCAAATGTAATGACACATGTCATTCATACCAAATGTACTTAAGTCTGTTTGACTTGCTCACAACCTTTTACTTTTGGGAACAACCAACATTAATTAATTAACGTTAATGAAAAGGAAAATTTACGTACGCCAGCTTTTTTTTTTTTTTTTTTTTTTATTGTGGAAAATAGACATACAAAACAGGTGCAGACATACAAACAAATACAATAAGACAAACAAGAAGCGAACACAGACAACAGAGAGAATATTCACATAGGTGATCAGTGTCAGTGATATTTACAATGTAAGTGGAGGATCTATACAAAGAGGGGAGAGACAGACCAACAGGAGAGAGAAAAAAGCAATCATTGCACGTACGTGTATGTGTGTGTGTGAGTTGGGTATGTGTGTGAGTGAGTGTGTGCGTGTGTGGATGACACTCACACGTACGCCAGCTTTAATTTAGCGAGTTTAGTTGCGTTTCAAGAGGAGACACGGACACTTCCAGAGGCTCCATAGTTCAGCTTCAGCGGTGTATTTGCGTGCACAGGTTCCGCACAGGTTACGCAAAGACACGCACACAACATGCAGAGAATAGTTCCATGCATGTATGGTCTTGGATCACGTTACCGCGGCGCCATTCGCCGTGTTGTTATAGCGGCAGGGGGGACCTCTGTCCAGAGCAGCTGCAGCTGCCCCGGGTCAGAATGCTGCGGCCACGGAGGATGCGGACTTCAGTTCATAGCAAACAACCGCAAGTGCCTCGCGGTCACTTTTATATTCTTTTAAAACTTATATTCCTGTTTCCATCTCACACACGCATGTGTCCGAGGCATTCAGAGTGTTATTATGGGATACATGGGCGGGTCATTCAGACATGCGTTTAAACGCGATTTTTTTTTTTAACGTGTTTAACGCATGTCCGAATGATTAATGAAAAATGTAATTAACGTGTGTTAACGCGCTAATTTTGACAGCCCTAGTGTAAAAGTATTTCAAATATTCAGAAAACAGTACTCTGATTAATCCGTGTACCCTTCGATCATTAGTTATTCCGTTTCAAAATCAAAATTTCCATTTGTTTATTGTTCTTTTCCTTTTCTAAACTTGAATAAAAAATAAATCCTTTATGCTTCAATATCAATGTGTTTGTTTTGGCTCTAGTTGTTTAAAATTCTCAAAAGAATTATGGCATTACTATTATTTCGTTTTATTATTATTTGCGACACCGGAAGAGAGAAGAGACCTCGCGGGCTCCTCAAAGCCGAGCCAGGGGGGCTACAGACGCGGGGGTGGGACCCAGGGACTCCCCTGGTCCCGGGGTACCCGCGGTCGCGGGGGATAAAGGACCAGAAAGTTATGGCCCTTGGAAACCACCAGGGGACCGCGCGTCTGCCATCCGCCCAAGAGCGCTCATTTTGGGGGAGGAGAAGCTCGGCTTCCAGGGCTTGTCAAAAACGAACCAGGGGTGCTAGAGACATGGGGTTTTCACCCACGCACTCCTCCGTTTCTGGGCTATCACCGGGGAGGGCTTTGCTCCCGCTCAGACCCGGGCCTGAGCGCTCATTCCCGGGGGAAGGAAGCCCCGCTTTCCGCGCTCCTCAAAGCCGAGCCCAAGGGGGTAGAGACACGGGGGTGGGACCCAGGGACTCCCCTGGTCCCGGGCCACCCGCGGTGTGAATTTGACGCGCGAGGGACAAAGGACCAGAAAGTTATGGCAAGGTCGGGCCTGTTTAGTACTTGGATGGAAGACCGCCTGGGAATACCAGGTGCTGTAAGCATTTTGCCCCTGGAGCTCGGGCCTGGGGGCGAGCTCAACAACAGCGCGAGTTGTTGTCGTGTAGTTGAGTTGAGTTGAGTGCAGCTTGCAGTTGTTACCGTCTCTCACCACTCATCATTTCCGGTAGCATATCAAACAAAATAATGGAAGTTGTTTTAGTAGTGTTTGTTTCCACTGCATAGCAAAGAAATGGGTGAATATTTTATTTAGAATGTTTTGATTTTCCAATTTAATTTAGAAAATGGAAATACAATAAAACAACCACGTAATTTGTTTTTCTGATTTTATTTTGAAACGGAATAACTAATGATTGAAGGGTACACGGATTCTGATTGAACCATGAGTTACAAAATACAGTTTAAATAAAACATTTATTCATTTTGCAGAAGGTTTCCAGATTAACCATAATTTCCCTCCTTTAACTGTCCTTCTTAATGAATGCACAATCCTTTTCTCCTCGTTTTTGGTCTTTTAACTAGTTCACATGAAGATGAAAAAAATGGAAATATCACATTTGTTTTTGATTTGACTGTTTTTCAATGGGGCAGCGTGGCTGCTGAGTGGAAAGCTTTCGCTTCTCAGCAAGAAGGCCTGAATGGGTTCGAATCAAGGTCGGAACATGGCCTTCTTGAGTGTAGTTTGCTTGTTCTCCCATGTCTGCGTAGGTTTCCTCAGGGTGCTCCGGTCCCCTCTGGGCGCTCCGGTTCCTCCTACCACTAAAAACATGCACAATAGGTAAAATCCTTCAGCTCCTTGTGTATTTTTCAGATTAGTTAATCCTTCTAGACGTTCCCTAAATCAATCCTAAAAACAACAGAAATAATAAATAATCATTTTTAATTAAGTATTGATAATTATTATGAATTACACAAGACAAAGAATATTTCTCTCTTACCTTACTACCCACCTATTTTTTTATTGTAAATCTATTTTAAATCGCAGTGTTCCTAAGGAAAATCAATTACATAATTTTTTCTTCTCTATTATTAATAAAGCAAAAGGAGAAAGGAGAGGCTGGAGAAATCTTTTCTTTTTTCACAGAGGATGTGTGGGCGTCTGTGTGAGAATGGGAACACACGTGTTGTTGGATTTGAAAGCGGGACCAAAAAAAACATGTCCTTTGTCTCTCTAGTGACAGCGATGGCCAAGCAGCAAACATTGTGTTGTTATTATCTTTTCTCAATGACTCCGGCTCTGAATTGGCCACTTGTGCGTTCACCATGGTTACGGAGGCCGGGACGTGTGAGCTGTCGGCTTCACATCGTTAGGACGTCCACAAAGAGACTCTCTTCAGCTTCTAGGTCTTAGTCACCTCCTATCATCCTCATGGCCTCCATTCCTCCGACTGTTTGAACAACCACCTTGACCAATTGTGCGCCGATCATTTACGACGAGGGAAGACAATTTACAGTCTACATTAGAGTCCACAGCGTAGTTCAGAGGACACTATACTTACAGTGTCTTGCGAAAGTATTCGGCCCCCTTGAACCTTTCAACATTTTGCCACATTTCAGGCTTCAAACATAAAGATATTAAAAAAATAATAATAATCATGAATCAACAACAAGTGGGACACAATCGTGAAGTGCCCCTTTACTTTCAGTGCAGCAAACTCAGTCCAGAAGTTCAGTGAGGATCTTTGAATGATCCAATGTTGTCCTAAATGACTGATGATGATAAATAGAATGCACCTGTGTGTAATCAAGTCTCCGTATAAATGCACCTGCTCTTTGATAGTCTCAGGGTTCTGTTTAAAGCGCAGAGAGAACCATGAAGACAAAGGAACACACCAGGCAGGTCCGAGATACTGTTGTGGAGAAGTTTAAAGCCGGATTTGGATACAAAAAGATTTCCCAAGCTTTAAACATCTCACGGAGCACTGTGCAAGCAATTATATTGAAATGGAAGGAGTATCAGACCACTGCAAATCTACCACGACCCGGCCGTCCCTCTAAACTTTCATCTCAAACAAGGAGAAGACTGATCACAGATGCAACCAAGAGGCCCATGATCACTCTGGATGAACTGCAGATAACTACAGCTGAGGTGGGAGAGTCTGTCCATAGGACAACAATCAGTCGTGCACTGCACAAATCTGGCCTTTATGGAAGAGTGGCAAGAAGAAAGCCATTTCTCAAAGATATCCATAAAAAGTCTTGTTTAAAGTTTGCCACAAGCCACCTGGGAGACACACCAAACATGTGGAAGAAGGTGCTCTGGTCAGATGAAACCAAAATCGAACTTTTTGGCCACAATGCAAAACATGCACATGTGTGTGTATGGCCTGGGTATGGGTCACTGTTTAAAATGAATTACACTTAATAAATTTCAAATGTCAAGACTGTAAATGACTTTATTGTAAATATGTGCAATTGTGATTGGAACTACTCCTTTTGAGTACTGTTTTTGAGTACTATCATTGTGTCTATCATGTATTGTATGGGGCAAAGAGGTGTATGGTTGGAGTGTTTGGGGCCTGTGTCGTGTTTCTGTTTATTGTTGTAGTGTGTGTATTTGGTGTAGTGTGGTGTGAGTGGGGGGTTGGAATCGAATAGGCGTAAGCTTCCTCCCTCCCCTTTTCAAGTTACATGATTGTGAATTGTAATAGACTGTGTATGTTATTTTTTCCTTACTTGAAATAAATAAATAAACAAACAAACAAACACCATCCCCACTGTCAAACATGGTGGTGGCAGCATCATGCTTTGGGCCTGCTTTTCTTCAGCAGGGACAGGGAAGATGGCTAAAATTGATGGGAAGATGGATGGAGCCAAATACAGGACCATTCTGGAAGAAAACCTGTTGGAGTCAGCAAAAGACCTGAGACTGGGACGGAGATTTATCTTCCAACAGGACAATGATCCAAAACATAAAGCCAAATCTACAATGGAATGGTTCACAAATAGACGTATCCAGGTGTTAGAATGGCCAAGTCAAAGTCCAGACCTGAATCCAATCGAGAATCTGTGGAAAGAGCTGAAGACTGCTGTTCACAAACGCTCTCCATCCAACCTCACTGAGCTTGAGCTGTTTTGCAAGGAAGTATGGGCAAGAATTCCAGTCTCTCGATGTGCAAAACTGATAGAGACATACCCCAAGCGACTTGCAGCTGTAATTGCAGCAAAAGCTGGCGCTACAAAGTATTATTATATGACTTGGACCGTACGCGCGCTCTGATTGGCTGATTACCGGTCTGATATTTTCCCATCTCGGACCGTTACCATGACAATTGGTCCGAACAGCGCTTATCACATTTGATATCTTTCCTCGGACCGTTACCATGACAATCTGTCCGCAGCGCGTATCACACAAAACCAAGTCGGACATGAACATACTTCACAAATATCTCAAAAGCATTGGTAAAGACACAGACGAGAGTCATATAATAAAACATTTATTAACCTTGCTTGCTCGGTCTGTACAGAGAAATATCAGACCTTGGCCTTTTTGCACAGACCTCGCCACGGCTCGGTCTGTACATTAAGGCTGCGGTCTGATATTTCTCCATACAGACCTCTCGCTCGGTTAATAAGCCGTTATTAGCGCAAGGGGGCCGAATAATATTGCGCGCCCCACTTTTCAGTTTTTTATTTGTTAAAAAAGTTTAAATTATCCAATAAATTTCGTTCCACTTCACGATTGTGTCCCACTTGTTGTTGATTCTTGACAAAAATTAATTTTTATATCTTTATGTTTGAAGCCTGAAATGTGGCGACATGTTGACAGGGTCAATGGGGCCGAATACTTTCGCAAGGCACTGTATACTTATTTCTGTAATTCATTTCATGTAACTTCACAATAGTTATGTTGCCCCCTGTTCATACCCACTGTCTTCAGCGCATCTTTGAGGCATTAACATTGACGCACAGGTTATGTCCAAGAATATCTTTTCATTGTAACAAACATAAATACAGTGCGCCATCAGGAATAGGATGGATTTCTATTTTTCAATGCGGCGTTTTCTGTGTCTCTGTTCTGTTTCTCCGAGAAGATGGAAAGGAAGCTTTCTGCGCATGTCTCCCATGTTACGCATGTCGCTTGGTGTACATTTTAGACTAGAAGTGGGCAATACATCAAATAATAGGTTAAAAACCCAATGGTGTTTTGTAAGTAAAAAAGTTTGAAAGTTTGAAAGCCTGTCAACTCATGTGGTGAATAAAGACCAAATATTAGCTTTTTTATTTTACTATTTCACTTGTGCTCATAATATTTGAAACTCCTATGGGTAAAATGTAGGGATATCAATATTGAAAAGCAAACTGAACAAAATCTTAATCTGGCTTTTGTTTATGGTCAAAATGTAAATTTTTCAGTAAAAATAATAATTACATTAGAGGACTCTCGGCAAACTTCGGTATTATATTTCATGAATACATTGTCATCTAGAACCGGGAAGTAAAATCATACCCCTAAAAACCTGTTATGTCCTGTAAAATCAGTTGAAAAGGAGCTTTCACAAGTTGTGCTGATCGCTAACTTGATCTGTGGTCTGATCCACTGATGTTGCTTAAAGGAGAGGAGCGCAGAACAATACAGTGGGAATGAAAACAGAAGTTCGCAGACTAGTTTCTTTACATAATTTTTGATCAATATTGAGATTTCAAATATACTTAGTAATGAGCCGCAGGCAGCAGTGAGACCGCAATGACAGAAAGAAGCGTGTCTTTAAATGAACAGATGCTAAAGGTTGTTCTCTCTGTTCCGCTGCAGATGCAGAGCGTCATGTACGAGCTCATGTCCGACCTGAACGACCGCAGCGAGGACCTGGAGCGGCAGATGCTGTCGTTGGAGCAGCGCGTGGAACAGCTGACCGCCGGCTTCAACGCGCTGCCCGCTCACCTCTCCGCCACGCTCAGTGCGCAACACGCCGCCCTGGTGCATCTCCTGCGCGAACGGGACAGCAGGGACTACCGGGACTACCGGGGCAGCGACGCGGGGGCGGTGGTGCCACTTTCCCCTGCGTCTCCTTTAACTTCAGCCTCTCCCATCCAGGCTACCTCTCCTCTGGCACAAACGCCCACGACAGTGCCCATCTTAGCACTGGAGCCTTCGCTGTCCCCCCCTCCGCTGAGTCCTGAAGGCAGCCTAGAGGCCAGCCAGACTGCCAACACATGCACATCCAGCTGCTGAGTGCCACACACTTACGCCAAAAGTGTATACGGGGCCGTGTTCCTGTTCCGTCTCCTAGGACTAAAATAATAAAAGACGCGGCAGCAAAGGCAGGCCTGTGAAATAACGTCCCCAGGCCAAGAAAATCGCAAAATGAAGAATTACCCAACTTAGAAGGACGGCCTTTATGAAGGATGGGACTTATGTGAGGGATTTCTGGTGGGCAATTTCCACAAAGAAGGAGCATGGAGGAAAATGGAGAGGGAACTACGGCTAAAAGGTGTGAGGGGGAGGCAGCTTGTCAGCCAGAGGAATAGCTGAAGGAGAAAAAAGGGTTAGGAATAATTATATGAACTCCAAATGGATCCGCTCACATTACTGAAAAGGCCTTTACTCTTTGTACTGCTCTCTCTTCTCACAGCCTGTCTTTTCTTTCACCAGGAAAGAAGGGCCATGACTTTTTATCCTGATGATGTATTTTATAAGTGAATGCAAAATTATGTGTTAACGAACATCCCTTTAACAGAAGGTCCGTTCAATACGACCGTTTAACAATGCTAGTGGCTTGCACAAGAAACACGCACACATGGTAATTATACACGCACTGCATGCACAAAAGAAACATACAATGTTGTTAGATCAGTGGCTCTCAAACTTTTCAAACCAAGTACACCAAAGAAACTATCTGGCTTTTCATGAACCACCAGAACTGACCAGGTATATCATGAGATTGTTTTCTTGTTTAAATATGAGATAAGGAACCAAAACAGTGAATTATAGTTCAATAATATTTGTGCTAGGACCCTCCTTCACTTTTCCTAAACAAGCCCAGTTCAAGATCTGCATACCGTCTTTTTCGGATTATAAATCACAGTTTTTGTCATAGTTTGGCCAGGGGTGCGACTTGTATGTGAAATTAATACATTTTATATTTAATATCTTATATTTTATTTACAGTGAAATATCAAATAATAGCCTGGTCTATTAGGTTGCGTGATTAACCTAATTAAGATTTTTCAGTGTTCTATTTGTATTAGCAAATGTGTTTTGGTCATCAAAACCCATCTGCTGTATAAAAGTTTGACTTATACTCCAGTGCGATTTATATATATTTTTTTCTTTTTTTATTACGCATTTTCAGCTGGTGCGACTTATTCTCCGGAGCGATTTATAATCCAAAAATTACGGTATATCTTCCTGGGTCCTGACAGTATGAAATGGTTTGATAAACCAAATATACCAGTAAAAAATAAGGAGGAGGTGCATATTTCATCCCATTAAACAAAAACAAATTACTTTTAAACAGTAAGTGTTCTTCAGTTCTTCCCTTCTCGTCAATGTGAGGAAAACACAGATTTTTCACAGAAATTGATTGAAAAAACTCAAACTCTTCCGTCGTTATTGTTATTGTGGCATGAAAACGACCAATATTATGATTGGAATAAATCTAGCTTGTTAGGAGAGCTGTATTTTCTACACACCCTTAAATTGCATATGACAGTTTTTTAAAAATATAAGGGTAATGTCAGCCACTTTCATTTGTGAAATTGTGTATATTTCTGACCATGGGGCACTGTAGTATTATGTATACAAAATATTTTTCAACAAAAATGTATTTAAAATAGTCCCTCCCTCTCCTTGGCATAACTACAAGCAGTCATTTTTGCTGAAGAAGAATAGTTCAACCAATGACAAGGGGCCTCAAGGATTTTACCAATCAGGAGGCTGCGGGGGTGCGCATGAGCGGATCTAACCAGTGCTTGTCTGGTTTTACTCTGGTTTATTTGACAATGTTTTATGTAAGAAATAATAATTTACCACCAATTAAGTCAAAGTTAGTTAAGAAAAATTATAAAGTATGTTTAAATGTACAGGAAATAGGGCAAAGTTCTAGACCTGATGACAGACAGAATTCCTAACATAACTTCAACTTTAACACCATTAATAATGCATTGTTTTTTGGACACTTCATTCACTCCATACACGGTGGTGAAAATAATATAATGTGGCTAAAACTGCCCTGTGGCATACTGACAGAGGCGAGGCAACCAGTATGTGTCATCAGCCTCTCCGACCACCAGCTGTCAAACACACACCAGACTCATTCAAGGCAGTATGGGTGAAGTGTCTTGCCTAAGGACACAACAATAGTTTGGCACTTTATAGCCGTAGCCACCCTACTGAGGCATCTCTATGGTATCCCCACAGGTCTCCCATCACTTTACTAACCAGGCTAAGCCCTGCTTAGCTTAAGAGGTCTGACGATTCACCCAAATAAATACGCTTAACTAATCAGTCAAATGCAAATATATCTGTTATTTGGATTTTTAAATGCTATTGTTTGGTTATATTCCCAGCGTGATGTCATCAATCAAAATAAGATGGGAATTTATAAATCTAGAAATATGGTCAAACTGGGATGAAATGTTTAAGATTTGTGAAACTTTTAGTCCAACCTGTCACTCACACTCATAATAATACCATGCGTTTTGAACAACTAAAGGAAGTATACAAATAAACAATAAAGGTGCACCCAGTGAGTGGTCAGCACGGCCTCTTTACTTTGGATCAGAGTTATGTCTACAGAGCTCCCGGATCAATCACAGTTGATCCTGTAGCCTCCTAGAGAAAGCAAAGGCACCATGCTGACCACTCATACTGCCACTGAGTTTCTCAAGGTCAGATTTGCAAAAAAGTCAACATTATTCACATAAAAAGTTGCGTTATGCCCCTTTAAACAGGTTAGGGAGTCCATGCACCAATAGATCCAAACCAGGTCTGTTATGGGACTTCCCTGAGTCTGACTACAATATTTCTTCCACACAAAAAAACAAAACAAATATAAACTGAATTGGACCACGGACCACAGTTTGAAATCCACTGTTTCTAGAGAAAATCCCCTTTTCCCGTGATGCACAAGCCTTTAACATAACACCGAAGCCTAAACTGCCAAGCACTCAATGCACTGTCATCTCCGAGCACTGCCAGTCACGGTGGACACTGCAAAACATTCACACTCACGTGTTCTGTCGTGAATGTGAGGTTTTTAGACGTGCATATATGTGACATTCCTCTGCTCTCGCAACGACAAATGTTCACTGAAGCTTTCAAGTGACTCAACGAACCAAGATGGAATGATGCTAAGTGACTAGAGCCTTTAGATCAGCCCTGAACATTACCCGAATACCACCACAAGCAGGTTTTAATACCACACTGGAAACAATACATTTTAGTACAAATAGTTTAAGATTCTATTTATTTTTATTGTGAGATATTTTTTGCTGAAGCAATTTGGTTTGGGATAGCTATTTCGGCGTGGCCTTGCACATACTGTACCTATTGAACCATACAATGTTATGGTCAAAAAAAAAGAAAAAAAAAGTTGACCGAACAATCAGAAGTTTATTTATGAACAATGAATGGTGTTTTACTAGATCTAGAAAGCGGCTTGTAGCATGTTTGCTGGAGATGTTATGCCGTTATCCTTTCCGCTTTAGGGGGATAGTGTTAGGTCTGTGTCTGTCTCAATGTGTGTGGCTTGAATTTATGTTCATAGGTTGCGTTCATGACAATTCTATAAGAATTTGGATTTTAGAATCACAACCCATTGGCCGTTGAACTGTTCTCATTTTATGTGGATTGAACCAGATTTCAACCATAAACATATTGCTATTTTGACCATTAAAACCAATGGATTTTAGTATATATTTATTAATAATATATGTTAATTTTGTCTAATTTTACCCTTATTTTATCTATGTTTAATTGCTATGTTTTAGAACATATATGGATAAACAGGTAAATGGAACACAAGTGGATTGTAATGGATCTAAATCTAACGTGGGGGGTCTAATTGAAGGTGTGCCATTGTTATGAATGTAATTTTAATAGAGAAAAAAAAAATCGTTTTAAAGAGAAAAAAATCTCTGTCTATGACATCATAGACTGATGATTATTCATAGCACATAAAGTTGGAACACAAAGCACTTAGGCAGAAGGGGAGTTGCTTGTAGTGATTTGTGACAGAGGTTCCTGATATTGTTAAAAATTATTATTAAAAATCAACTCCAGATCTGTTTTTGATGAGGGAACAAGGAAAATGTGTTTAAAGCAGACATTTGTATAAATAGTGTCCTTAGGTCAACACATCCTCCTGTCAACAACAGCACTATTTTCTCCACTTCGTCTTAATTTAACTACGTAGCTACAGCTAGACCCAAACATGGATGAAATACTTACATCAATATAAAAAGACACTTTGAGCACTTCTCACTCTTATCACACTTTTTGGACTCTTGAAAGTCCAAACACCCTCAAAGGGAAACCGAAAACCACAAATAGTAGTTGGACATTTTTATGAACGCAACCTATTCTGTTTGTTACACGTGACTCTTGTTGAGAAAAGAAGGGGAGAAAACCTCACTGCCATTCTTCTTGGAGGTCGCAGTCTCAAATCAACGTCATGAATGTATTCTGTTTATAGAAATACACACTGTTGCTTGCTCCATCCCTGAAAACTGCCACGCATATAGGCCCACTCACACTAATGCACAAGAGTACACGCACACACACAGTTCAACAACCAAAGTGCTCTATTTTAAATGGATTTCAATAAAAGGCAGGGAACGCCGCTATCACTGGGGACGCAGAGCAGGGGGCGGCGCACAAATCCTGACAATATTTCAGAGGGAAAACTGTGAAACCCTGGACTGTGCATGGACTGTGCTCTCACCCCTGGAGCGTGAGGAGGTGGTCTACAGAGGAGCCTGAGGCGACACAAATAAACCTTATAAAGGATAATGGCCATGAAGGAACAGCCGTTCACAAAATAAACGAACACAAGACTTTAGGATATCAATGGTAGAAACTGTTGTGGGGTGAATGCAAAGAAAAAAGCCTCTTACTGAAGGCACTCGCTCACACTGTCCAATAGTGACACGCTGTGGCCGGAAAACTTATTTACGCTTGGAAAATGTACAGTATGCTATTAATGAAAATTAGCTTTGTATTGCTTAGTTTTT